CTTGAATGGCCCTCGGCTGGTCCTTGGATGGCCCTCGGCTGGTCCTTGGATGGCCCTTGGCTGGTCCTTGGCTGGGGCTTAGATGGTCCTTGGATGGTGCTTAGATGGCCCTCGGCTGGTCCTTGAATGGCCCTCGGCTGGTCCTTGGATGGCCCTCGGCTGGTCCTTGGATGGTCCTTGGATGGCCCTTGGCTGGTCCTTGGCTGGTGCTTAGATGGTCCTTGGCTGGTCCTTGGCTGGCCCTTAGATGGCCCTTGGCTGGTCCCCTACAATTCCTTTTTAAAAATCAATATTTGTACTAAAATATTTTTTCTGTCATGATTTGTGGACATTATGATCTAAAGAGAAGCGTCATCTCCTGTAATTCATTGAAGGGTGGAGTCGGCGTAAAAATATGCAGGAGGGGTCCACTCCATTCTCTGCTAGTGGGCTGCCATTTGGCTGGGAAGGGCCATTTAGAATGGCTGCTACTGTAAATGTCATCGCAGATCGCAGAGGTCCACCTGGACATTGGTCCGCGTTAAAGTCTGATGCGCCTCCCTGGTCTGTTCTGTCCAATGGCGGATGCAGTGGAGGAAGTTTTCAGATTTTTTTATTTTTTTGGTGAGAAAAGTCCACATCAAAACGTCATCCACACAGTCAGGATTATAATCCTGCAAATATTTTCCACTGGCAGTTTTTGACTTTTTTTAAGTTGTCGATTTAACTACTCCTGCATCGAGTGGTTCAATATGCGCTGAAAGACATTCAGACACCCTTCCACACAACAGGAGTGTGTGGAAGGGTGTCTGAATGATCCTGGAGGAACTGACCCAATAATGCTGCTTTAGTGAAGCCAACAGTAAGCTAGCTCCACCGGTGGCTCTGTCCAGGGAAAACAAAGTTTAGTCAGCAAGCTCAGAGCCAGTTTTAATGTAGGAAAGAATGAAAGCGAGAACATCCAGTTAGTCGCACTAAAGGCTGAGCCCATAGCTGTCTAGGAGAGAAACGGGACTAAACACCGAAAAACAGACCCAACTCTATCCGCAGGATGGTATCACAGCTAAACAGAACCAGGTCAGATGAAGCTAATGGGGCGAGGAAGAGCAGAGACAATATACAGTTAAAGCAACAAATTCTGCAGAATAGAGATAGAATGAAGCAGAATGATGAAAAAGGGGTCCCTATGTCCTCCTGCAGTCTAAGCCTATAACAGCAGAACTATAGAGATAGCTCAGGATAACCTGAGCCACTCTAACTAGAAGCTTTATCAAAAAGGAAAGTTTTAAGCCTAGCCTTAAAAGTAGACAGGTTAATAGATTTTACGGCACTAAAAAGTCACTTTTTTTCAGTGTACCGCCTCCCACCATGT